GACTGAGCCACCCAGGCGCCCCGTTAATGTTGGTTCTTATGTAAGGTATATACATACTTTAAATACAGTTTGCCTTTATTGAAAAAGTATTGTTTGGCTGGGGAGGGAAGTTAAAAGCAAGTGTGTCAACAAGTGTTGACCCTACTCCACTTGAATTCCATTAAAATGGAATGAGGGTACCTCAAACTATTCATCAGAAATATAAAGGATTTTCTTCCAGATACAGTGCTGAAAGATATACAGTGCTGGATAACCTACATCCTGAGAGAAGGCAATTTGATCAGTAAGTAAGGAAGCCCTAGCAGAACCCAATTTCTGTCCCACATTTTAAAGGGGAAGGAGACTTTTGGAGACACACCATTTTTTTCCCCAGATAAGATTTAATCTCCACTAGGGAACTTATTCCTTTGGTTTTTCCCTTTCTCTTCTATTATCTTTACTTTTTTTTTCTCTATACTGGCTTATTCACACCAATATTTAAATGTGCTTAAGTTTCTCATATCTTTGAGAAACCAAACATTTACCTTCACCCACTGCCGTATTTTGCCCTGCATCAGTTAAACTTCTCATACAGTTTCTCCAAATTCTATCTCCACTTCAAAACCCATGCACAGCTCAACTCCACTAAAACGTCTGAGTCAACAGAGACTTTGTTGCTAAATTCTATAAGTTAGATGTATTTTTTTCATTCTTTTCCAGTAACACTTAAAACTTACCACTTTGTCCTCCTTAAAAAGCAGCCTTCTCTTAAACTTCTCTGACATCACACTCACCCGGTTCATTCTGTTTCTCTGCCCACTCCTTTAGTCTCCTTTCAGTGACTCAGCCTACTCTGGCTGTCTCCAGGCCCTTTTCTGTCCTGAGCCTGCACCAAGTGATTTCATGCACTCAGGCTTCAAATGAACATCTATATTCTGATGATTTCCCTTTTTTTTTTTTTTTTTAAGATTTTATTTATTAGAGAGCGAGCACAAGCAAGGGGGAGGGACAGAGGGAGAAGCAGACTGCCCGCTGAGCAGTGAGCCCAACATGGGGCTGGATTCCAGGACCCTGGGATCATGGCCTGACTTGAAGGCAGATGCTTAACCAACTGAGCCACCTAGGCACCCCTCTGATGATTCATTTTTCTGTAGTTCCAGCCTGGATCTCTAATGAGCTTCAGATACACATCTAGAGGACTAGAACGCTAATCCTCCTGAGTGTTCAAAGTGGCACCTCAAATTAGCATGTCCAGATCTGAACATTTTCTTTCTCCTGAATTTATCATATATGCCTTATCTTATTAGCAAGTGATGCTACCATCTAACGATCCAGTGTAACAAGCCGGAATCCTGGATGTCATTCTTGAATCTTCTAATTCCCTCATCATCATTATCCAAAATCACCACATTTTTCCTGTTTTAGCAACTATTTCTCAAATTCAGCCACTTCCACTTTATCTACTGATACCATTCTAGTACATGCCACTGTAATTTCCAATCTAGATTATTTTACCAGCCTCCTATTATATTCCCCCTCTAGTCAAGTATCCACATTAAGTGTTCTCTGAATAAACTCAAATCTGATTCCCTCCCATCTTTAAAAGCCCTCAAAAACTCCCTATTGCCTTTGCCTTAGAATAACTCTTTACCATAGTTTACAAGCCTATTTCAGCCTTTGTATTTCCTCTCCCATGCCTCTTGCCCTCACACATTCAGACTCCTCTACTGCTGGAAAATCTCTTCCATCTCTCCCCACAAATGTCACCCCATTTCTCCTGGCTAATTTCTAACTCCTTCTTAAGGTCTTGTTTGAACATTATTTCCTCTTGGAAACTTCTTGACAACTCTTCCCCTCAAAACCAGTTAGGGACCTGTCCTGTGCCCTCACAATATCTAATTCTTCCCCTATCAATGCACTCGCATGCTATTTACTTGTGTGTATCCCTCACTGGACTGCAAGCTACTCAAGAGCGGATTTGTGTTTTTTTCACTGATTAATCATCTGGTATATAGGTGTGCAATAAATGTTTGTGTGAAAACTGTATTAATCATGGTTTTTTATTTATTTTTTGTCATCTGGGGCCTTGCTGAGACTGCCCTTCCCAGGGCTAACTGTTCCTAGAGATAGCAAATGTCTCTCCTTCTAGCCAATAAAAGCCCAAACCCTCCAATCACCTTCTTTATCAAACTTTAACAAGCCAAGGCAATATTGCTCTGCCCTAATGACCCCAGGGCCAGGTACCAAACAACTCAGGATAGCCACTACATCCCAAAGCCCACTGAAACTTTTCTATCCAATCTTAAATCTCTTAGCTTGGGGAGCCTGGGTGGCTCAGTCAGTTAAGCATCCAACTCAATTTTGGCTCAGGTCATGATCTCAGTGTCATGAGATGCAGCCCTGCATCAGGCTTGGCGGGGTATTGGGCATGGAGAGTCTCTCTCTCCCTCTTCCTCCGTCCCTCCCCTTCCTCCCCCTCTCTAAAAAACAAACAAAACCTCTTATGTGTACCCTGCCTCTGCTATTCCTTCCTGCAAAAACCATAATAAAGGCTCTCACCCATGCTTTCCCCTTGCTCCTGGCTCCTGAGCCACCATAGTGCTTCCCTGTGTGGACATAAACTTTGTGTATTCTATGTCTAGAATTGGTTTGGTATAAACTATTCTATGCCTGTGGGCAAGAACTGGAAAGAAAAATGGGAAAATGAGAACTGTATTGGGGTGGAGGGTATACAGCTTTTATCAGACCTTTAGAGAATACCAGGTAGCACATTTTAAAGCCCATTGTGGACAAAGAAGATTAAGAAGCCACCGGGAAAGTGGGAGGCTAGATGAGCAGAGATGAAAACTCTGTTCTCACCAGAATCTTGTTACCAAAGTGGCAGGGTTTTTTGTTTTTGTTTTGTTTTTTTGTTCTACTCAATACCGTTTGCCAAATAACGAAACAGTATTTGAGGGCAACCAGGTAATTTATTCAGTAGCTAGAGAATAGAGAAGGGGAGCTCATGCTCTAAAGGTACCTTTTTCCTATTAGGTCTCCTGTCAGGGTTTTATGGGGTTAAGGGAATTAAGGGGATGGTAAGCAAGCGGACCTCACAGCTTTTGAGGGGAGAGGAGACTTCTCAGAATGAGAGTGCCAATTCTTCTCTTCCCTTAAATGAGTGCAGTCAGATCTATCATGGCACTGGTAGCTGTGTTTTTTGTTACTCCTATTAGATGTCAATGATCCGGAGGCCTCGTGGAGGGTTAGCACGGCCGCTAAACTGGACCAAATTGGTGGAAAACTGGGTCATGGGGGGCTTGTTTGGAGTCTATGGCTTCTGGTATCTGGCCTTAATTTCTGGTGGCAAGCAGCATCTGCAAGCAGGACTCGAAAATTGGGCTACGTGGCTTGTATGGAGCTTTTTAGAGACTCCCTGGTGACAACGTCTGGGCTCAGAAATTGTGGCACCCGGGCAGGCTGCACGATTCTAAGCAAGCTCAGCTCAGCTTCACTTCTTTAGAAGCCGGAACCCTCCAGAGTCGTTTCTACGTTTTCCAGTCGGCGGTGAAAGTTCAGTACACGGCCTTCCCGGAAGTTGTTGAGGAGTCGTTTCCGGGGCAGGGTGAGGTGGAGGAAGATTCCGAATGGGTCGCAGCCGCAGCCGCTCCCCACGGAGGGGTGAGTCCAGAGGGAATTTGGTCTGGGGCTTGGTCGGAGGCGAGGCCCCCCTCCTTCTTCTCACCCCAAGAACGAACGCAGCGGAGAGAAGGGCCCTTTTCTCCTGAGGAGGAGAAGAGTGGGGTTGGATGGAGGAGCGGGGGACAAAGACCTGAGCCCTTTACTCTTCAGCCCTCCGGTTTGAAGGCAGTTTTCCTTCCTTTAAGAGTTTCGCGGACTCTTTGTCAGCCTCATACAATAACTTGTTATACTTGTGACTGAGGGATTTAGAATCAGACCACGGTTCGTCATTTAATTTCTTGGTGGCCTTGTGCAAGTCATCCAGCCCTTCTGAGACCGAATTCCCATAATTAGACATTGGGGGTAGTACTGCCTATCTTTAAAAAACTGATGTGAGAATTAATGTTACATTCCATAACACTCAGCATGTGGTAATGCCTAGTTCTTGAATGCTCAATGTTAGTTTCCTTCCCAATTTATATAATAGGAAAATCGATATTTAGAATTTTGCGTCCAGGGAGCTCACCTCGTAATATCTTCTGGCACCCACCCCCATAAATGAGGCAGTGGGATGTAAAGAACCCAGGACTTCGATCAGGAGATGCAACTTAGACCCTCGGTTCTTCCTCCTCTGGTTAGTCTTTATCACCTTCAACTTGATTTTGTAAAAAGTTGAATGAGGCCGTGATCCGCGTATGGCTCTTGAGCACTTAAAATGTGCTCAGTCCGAATTAGGAAGTGCTAGTTAAGTGTAGAATACACTCCAGATTTCCTATTAAATACCAAAAAGAAGTAATATCTCAGTTCTCATATCGAGTACATGGCAAAATGATAATGATTGGGATATATTGGGTCAAATAATGTTAAAATTAATTCTACCTGTGTCTTTTTACTTTTTTAATGTGACTACTAGAAATGGCTGGCATTATATTTCCATCGGACGGCGCAGCCCTAGATATTTGAGGTAATATTTTGCCTCTGCAAAAAGATTTTGTGTGTTTGTATTAGAGCGCAGGCGGTCCCGGTCCACATCCCGTGAGCGAGAACGCAGGCGCCGAGAAAGGTCCCGGTCCCGGGAGAGAGATCGGCGAAGGAGCCGCTCTCGATCCCCGCACAGAAGACGCTCCAGGTGAGTGCAGGGAAAAAAACCTGAAGTTTTACTACAAGTCCCAAAGAAACTAGTCGCTGCCCTTAGTTTTTTTTTTATCACAAGGGATTTACAGTTTCATGAAATGAGGGGAACTTAAGCCCACCTTATTTTAAACCCAACATTTCCATTGGTAAAATGGGGTTCATCACACTCTCTTTGCGGTAGAGTTGCCTTGAGGAAGAAATGAGAAATAATATATGAAAAATACTAGCGTGGTGCTTGGCAGGAGTAGGAAATGAGGATTTTGTATTTTGGGGGTTTTTTGATTTTGGTTTTCTTTTTTTTTTAAGATTTCATTTTTATAAGTAATTTCTATACCCAACTTGGGGCTCCAGCTCACAGTCCTGAGATCAAGAGTCCATGCTCCAGGGACTGAGCCAGCCAGGTGGCCCTGTTTTGTTTTTACTAACTTTTTGGTGATGAAGGTTTACTCAGATATATAAACAAGATTGTTAGATCTTGAAAGAACCTTAGAAACTGACTCTTGATTCTTAATAAGTATCAATTGCTGTTTAAGTCAACTTTTTGTGTATTTGTAATTGTTAGAAACTTTTCTTTTTCTGCCTTACAAAAAATTTTTTTAGCCCTAGCTGTACTAAGACTGATGATTAAAGCAATAAATTATATTTCTGGTTTTTCGTTAACAGTCAGGGCCTAGGCCTTGTTCTGCTATGCGGAATGGACTCCTGGTTCTCTGGAGCCTGGCTTTTGTTCAGCCTTTACCTTTTAGGAGCTTGTGTATATATTTGTCAATCAACACGTCACCAGTTATGTCTCTGCTTCTGATATCTTTACTTATTAAATATTAGATCCCCAAGACGACATAGATCCACATCTCCTTCCCCTTCTCGACTGAAAGAAAGAAGAGATGAGGAAAAGAAAGAAACAAAAGAAACAAAGAGCAAAGAACGCCAGATTACTGGTAATGTTATTAGATAAATAACTGTAGGAAAAATACAGCCTTGTTCATATAACTTTAGTCATGATAAAATTATAAAAGTATAATTTGGGAACATTTAAATATTAAATTTTTTATAGTGTTCATATGGTTTTGAGATTTTGTTATCATTGTACCTTAGTTGCTGGTTATCTGTGGTGCTCCTGATATAAGAAGGCCAGTTAAAAACATGAGAATATTCTATTTTGGAAGTACCTTCAAAACTAGTGTCGTATCTGATATTAAAAGTGGTCCTGCCCAAAGGCTCCAAGCATGTCCTTTTAAGCAGTCTCTTCTCATGGAGGATGTAGAGCGTATTCCCTCCGTGCATCTTAAGTTACATTGTGTCCAAACTGAAGAGGAATTTTTTTCCCAATTTCCTAGTCCTTTAGCTAATTGTTTTGTGTGTTCTCTGCTGCTGAGGTGGAGTAACTATTTTTTTTTTTTTTAAGATTTTATGTATTTTTTTTTTTGAGAGAGAGATAGCAAGCGAGAACATGAACAGAGAGGAGAGACAGGAGAGGCAGAAGCAGACTCCCTGCTGAGCAGGGAGCCCGATGTGGGGCTCAATCCTAGGACCTGGGACCATGACCTGAGCCGAAGGCAGACGCTTAACTGACTGAGCCACCCAGGCACCCTGGAGTAACTGTTAATCTATTGACAGCTCTCTTTTTATATACACATGTCGTTGTCCCCCCGCCCCTTGGTACAAAAGTAGAGCCTTCCTATGAAACCTTTCCTAAGCTGAAATGGCATAAAGCAAAGAGTATCCCATGCTTTCTGAAGGTTTGTGGTACACCACTTTGCTTTTACAAAAGACCTACATTGGTACAGTAATTGCTTTTTTTCTTAAAAGGAAATATCCTCTTCACATTTCTTTTGGTTAGCAAAAAAAGTACTAATGTAGGTCTTTTTATTTATTTTAGAGAGAGAGAGAGAGTATGTGCATGAGCGAGCACAAGCGGGAAGGGGGAGAGGGAGAAAGAATCTGAAGCAGACTCCGCACTGAACACGGAGCCCGACACGGGGCTGGATCCCACAACTACGAGATCATGACCTGAGCCAAAACCAAGAATTGGACGCTTAACCAACTAGGCCATCCAGGTGCCCCTAATGTAGGTCTTTTCTAAAAGCAAAGTGGGGTACCACAAACTTTGGGAAGGTGGGATGCCTATATATAAAATGATAGAGTTTTAAAAAAATGTGTATTTTTGTGTTATTTTTTGCAGAGGAGGACTTAGAGGGCAAAACAGAGGAAGAAATAGAAATGATGAAATTAATGGGATTTGCCTCTTTTGACTCCACCAAAGTAAGTAAAACACATAGCCAGTTAAACATTCTGATTTGAATTAATCCATTATTACTGTCACATTTTTCCATATTCTTTTAATGTTGCTTATAATTTCTTCCATTCATACAAGTTTTTTCCTTTAGAAGACATGAAGTATCTGTGTGAAGGGCATTGAGAGCACAGAGAAGGAAGCACTGAGCTGCCGTTAGAATTCAGGGAGTGTTTGCCTGATGTTTAAGTTTGATCTTCAAGGTGATCAGATGAAGAGGAGGAAGATCATTTGAAGTAGAGGGAAGAACTCATGAAAATGCTGTATGTAGGCATGAAGGAGCATAGTGTATTGTGGGAATTTCAAATTCAGTGACTGGTAAAAGGGTGCTGATAGGCTGGTGGCTCTGAATGAGGCTAGAAAGTGGGATAGGAAGCAAATTGTGGAAGCTTTTGATACTCTTAGACATACCAAGGAATTTAGAGTTAATTCTTTAGGTGTTGAGGAGAGGAAGCAATGATATGTGCATTTAGAAAGATGAGCCAGGACAACATGGAGGACAGATGCGAGACAGGTTAGATTGGAGGCAGGGAGAACTGCTGGGTCATGCAAGTGAAAGATGATGAAGGCCTTAACTGAGGCCAGAATATTGAGTCTGCTCAGGAGCCAGAGTTGGTGGTGGTGGTTGTGGTAGTGGGAGTGAGTAGTCAGTGGTGACTCCAAAGTGACAGGCTGAAAGACTGGGGGATAGGGTTAACCAAGAAAGGGTTCTGGGAAGGGAAAGTGCTGTGAAACAAGAATGAAGTTCAGCTGCAGAGAACGATGACATTGGGTAGCTGTATATATCTCATAGCTCAGAAGGGGGAAGGATTGGAAAGTGAATGCTGTCTAGCCTTGATCTTAATACTGAAGAGAATAAGGAAGTGGGGGAGGAAAAAGAGGGAGGGTTTGTGGAGAGGAAGATGAAGAGAAGGGATTATAGGGAAGGAGGGGGGAAAGAGTAGAAAGACATAGGGAGATGTGATGGAAAGACAAATGGGGGGAGGGGAGATGGAGAGAGGATGTGGAAAGAGGAGAGAAGGGATAGAGAGAGGGAGCTAGTAAGAATAGAAGGAGAGTATGTGTGGAAGGAATATATATTTTCTTTGAGAATATGGTTTAAAAACATTCTCTAGAATCTTAAGTCCATGTAGTTTTGTAAATGGAAATCGAGATTTTTAAGAAAAATTGTCAGAAATAATCCACTTCCCCTAATCTTTGAATGGAATGGGCTAATCGTAGATGCTGTAAAAGTTTCTTACTAATGGTTGTGATTATGTAGGGCTCACATGTTTATAAAATGACAGTGTATAACTCAAGAGGAATACTGAGGCATTACTGTTTTGAGGTAAGAAAATTATGAATTCTGGGGCATCTGGGTGGCTCAGTCGGTTAAGCATCTGCCTTCAGCCCAGGGTCCTGGGATCGATCCTGCATCAGGCTCCCTGCTCAGTGGGGGTCCTGCTTCTCCCTCTCCCTCTCCCTCTGCCTGCCACTCCGCCTGCTTGTACTCTCTCTCTCTCTCTGTCAAGTAAATAAATAAAATCTTAAAAAAAAAAAAAAATTATAAGCTCTTGTTTTCACAAATGGTTATTTCCCATTTTGGAATTTAATGCAGTTTATGTATCAGTTTTTTTTCCTTGAGTACACCAAATTCTTATTTGTTTTTCCAAAGAGTATTTTATAAGTGAAATGGTTTATTAATATGTACACTGGGTGAACAAAAATATCTCCAAAGTAAAACAACTATAATTTTGCTGTTTTTAGAAGAAAACAGGAAGGGAACCTATCAGAATTATTTTCTTGGGGTGAGGCTGGGGCAGCGGGTTTACCTTTGCCTGTTGTTAAGTTTGAAATTCTGAGAATCAGATGTAAAAATGGAGCCATACTTTTAACTGTAGTCTATGCTGAAGGTGTTTGTTTATAAAGGAAAAAATAGATAAGAATTCATAGATCCCATAAAAATTAAGGAGTACCATGAGAACAAATGATGTCAGTTGTTTTCTTAAGGACATGTACAAGGATGTTACTTTACTTTGTATGCAGTTGGCTTCATGGCCATCAGTTATTAAGCCTCTCAGTTCATTTGCTTTTCAGTAATGTGTATCTTGTGATATTTCATCATAGATCTATGGTGGTACCTTTTCATGTGCAAATGTAGTCACTTATTTTGCCTTCCATTTTCACATTCTAGAATGTTTCAAAGTTTGGTTATGTTTATTAATGGATAATTTTCTATTTCAGCATGTAAATCAAAACAGGCTAATAATACACAACTCTGCAAGTAGTTTTCAAAAACCAATAATCCTTTAGGAATTGAACTTACTAAAATGGTTAGCATCATTTATTTTTTTCCTAAGCCAGTCTTTCCAAATCATACCTACTTCCTATTCTTGGGAGAGCAAAACTGTACACCTCAAGTAATATACCTAGTAGTATTCTACTCTCCTCACCACACCCCCACAATGTAGTGAAAACAGGAATAGAAAAGTAAGACCAAATACACTTTTTTTTTAAGATATATTTATTCATTTTTGGAGAGAGTGTGAGCAGGGAGAGGGGCAAAGGGAGAGAGAGAGAATCTCTAGCAGAACCGCTGAGTGCGGAGCCCAACACAGGGCTCAATCCCACAACCCCCAGATCATGACCTGACGAGTCAGTCAGACACTTGACCAAATGAGCCACCCAGGTGCCCCCAAATACATTTATTTTAGCTCCACCTCAAATATGTATCTTACCTGTGCGTGACTTCAGGGCAGTAGATAAGAATCCTTTTTTTATCCTAACACAAATATCTAGTAAGTGTGCTATGCAGTTAGGGTATACTCCCTTGAGTAATAATGGGGAAGGAGGGAGGGAATTGGAGGTCACGTGTGTGTGTGTGTATGTGTATGAAAGAGATGGCATTAATCGGTGGTGTTCATATATTTAACAGTTGTTTTCTGAGCACCTGCAAGTTCAGGGCCTAGGATGTGAGAATGCAAAGGTGACTCGCATCCATATCCCTCCAACAAGAAGCTTTCAGTCTCGGGCGCCTGGGTGGCTCAGATGGTTAAGCGTCTGCCTTCGGCTCAGGTCATGATCTCAGGGTCCTGGGATCGAGTCCCGCATCGGGTTCCCTGCTCAGTGCAGAGCCTGCTTCTCCCTCTCCCTCTGCTACTCCCTCTGCTTGTGCTTTTCTGTCTATCTCTCTGTCAAATAAATAAATA